AAATAAGGCCCCATAGAGGTCACCTATAGATCAGTTCCGGTTGAATAGCCTGATAGCTTATGCTAGCTCAAACGTTAGATGGAAGACAGTTGACAGTGGTTTCCTTGGCAACAGATCACAACTCGAGAGGCGGGATTTCCTGAAAAGTAGCCAATCACCGGCGGGTTGCTAGGTGACGCCTTCAAAGGAGCGAGCTGAACTCGGTCCGCAGGTGGAAGGAGGCGGCGTCCAGCTGTGATATTCTGTTCCCCGTGTGTCACGTTAGACACCGGTGTCCAGAACCCTTCCTGGTTCTGATGGAACCTGTTCTGGTTCTGGAACCACCGCTCCAGTCTCACGTGGTCATAATGTTTAACTCTCGCTGACCTTTATGGTTCTGATCCGAACGGCGAAGCTGCTCTGTCCATCTCTTTCAGACCTTCATCTTCACCGACGGGGAGGACCAGGAGCTGCAGGGGAGAACAGGTTAGCACAGCAGGAGCACATTCTGACCGAGGCCGCCTCGGTACCGGTTCTGATCCCGGTTCTGTCCTTTGTCTCAGGAACCAACATCATCAACACCAACTGCTCGGCGGCTCACAGCCGCCAGGCGCTGTGCTGCAAGATGTCTGTGGAGTACGACCGCTTCATCGAGTCCCACAAGAAGTGAGTCCAGGGTTCTGACCCGGCCTGGAAACGGACGACTTTCCCCCCTCTGCTGGTACTGATGGGTTCTGTGTCCGTAGGTGGTTCTGCCACGTGGACGATGACAACTACGTGATCCTGCCCGGCCTGCGGCGCCTGCTGTCCTCCTACCACCACAGCCAGGATGTCTACCTGGGCCGGCCCAGTCTGGACCACCCCATCCAGGCCGCAGACCGGGTCACAGGGGACGGAAAGGTGGGTCTGGTGGAGGTTCTGCTCAGATCAGACCCGTTTACCTGTGGCTGTGATGTCATTTCCTGTCCCCCCGCCTTCTCAGGTGTCTGTGAAGTTCTGGTTCGCCACCGGTGGAGCCGGGTTCTGCATCAGCCGAGGTCTGGCTCTCAAGATGAGCCCGTGGGCCAGGTGAGAGTTCAGAGAGGTTCTGATGATTGTTCTGATCAATGAGGTCGGTTCAGATGTGGAACCATTGGACCCGCTCTGCTGTTTCTGACCCGCTGAATGTCCTGGTGGAACCTGGTTCTGATGAGAACCGGACCTTCTGTGGGCAATGAGGCTGATGGATCAGAGCCGCGGTCCAAACGTCTGCCTGTGGTTTCAGTTTGGCCGAGGCGTCAAGTAACAGTTACAAAAAATCTGTTACAGTACTTAAGTACACTTTTTAGGTATCTATACTTTACTCCATTACTTATTTTTCTTCCTACTTCTGACTTCTACTCATTACATTTTCACACAAGTATCTGTAGTTTCTATTCCTTACATTTTAAAACAAACATTACTCGTTACTGTTGGCTTCGGTTTGATGCAGAGGTCACGGATTAGCGGACCGTGGTCTGGATCCACCTGCTGGCTAATCTGGACCGAACCTGATTTAAAACATTTATAAATTACTGCATGTTGTCTGACAACAGTGTCTAAATGTCACTTGCGCCGCTTCTCCTGTTACCCTGAAATCCCACATCCTCCGTCTCCGCCCACTCAGCGCTCCAGACCTCCTGAGCAAAGCAAAGCCTACAGCCTCCGCTGTTACTCCCGTATCGCTGCGATCCGACTTCCTCGGAGCTCGAGGAAAGCATGCGCCATATTATCATTAAATTCATAGGAGCAAAACATGCAGAAATGAACGCTTAGTTTAATATAACATGTAAAAAAAAAACATCAGCATCCAGCAGATGTGTGGTTTCTGATGGAGATGAGAAATCTGCTTCCTGGTCTGTTGAAGGACCAATAGTTTGCATCCAATCTTTTAAATACCCGTAAATGGTGTTAGTTTTTTTAAATGAAATTAGAAGAATTATGCTCTAATTTGACAAACCGGATCTTCTCGCCGATCTTTTTCCTGTTTGATGTGTTTGCAATAGCAGATCTTGACCTGGCTGGACCGGGGCGGAGCCTGCACATTTAGAGGATGTTTGGCTCAACCTGCTGCTGTGAAGCAGGATTCTCCACCATGAACAGAATCAAAAATAAATATGGATCCAGGCTCAGAATGAGCTCCTTGACATGTGCTTTAGAATGGCTTAGTCTCCATTAAACCCAGGTTTAAAGCCTCACAGGGCAGCATAAAGCCCACTGTGAACATTAAGACAGAAAAAAAAGAAAAATAACAAACGCTCAGTTCAGGTGTTTGAGAAAATATAGGAATCGGGAAATTGTCTATAAACCAAACTGAAAGATTGTTGTTCTCTACTTCAAAAAACCCTTTAGATTTAAAATGGAAAAATTTTTAAATTTCTTTATTTAAAAATTCTATGTATATCATGAATGCATAAACACCTCATTTTTTTTCAGTGTTAAATTCTGTTTAAAGTAACAGATCATTAAAAAGGCTCCAGACCTTTACTGGTTGATGATTTTCTTTATTCAGACCTGCTGATTTTTAATTAGTTACTCCTGGTTTAATGTTTCTAAATATATATTTCACATCATGTGCTCCATCCAATGCAGATCATTGGCTCCATCCACATCTAGTGAAAACTAGTGTGATTGGATGAGTCATATGACGCAAACAGTCATTGGTTAGCTAAAGGAAATCATCAGAAGCAAGCAGGTGTTCTTCAAACTGCAAGCGTGAATTGTCTATACTATGCTACAATGAAGGATTCAGAGAAAGATGTAGAAATGTCTGAAAGGTCGGACACAGGCAAGAGCGTATCGGGAGATGGAGACCAACAAGACCTCCCTCATCCTTGGCCCTATCTCTAAGAATTTATAGAAATAGTCGAAAAATTGAGCTTTAAAATTCATATAGCGGCATCTGGCTGCTTTTTTTTTTAAAGGTTACTTTATACTTTTATACTTTAAGTAGTTTTTAGAGCACATACTTTTTCACTTTTACTTGAGTAAAGAGGTCAACTTGATACTTCAACTTTTACCAGAGTGTTTTTAAACTGCAGTATCTATACTTCTACTTAAGTAACAAATGTGTGAACTTTTGACTCTACTGCAGTTTGGGGAACTTCATCAGCACGGCGGAGAAGATCCGTCTGCCTGACGACTGCACCATCGGCTTCATCATCGAGGCGCTGCTGGACGTCCCGCTCACCCACTCACACCTGTTCCACTCTCACCTGGAGAATCTGCAGAAGCTTCCTGTTCCCACTGTGCTGGACCAGGTGAGCCAATCAGACGGCAGGAATCCCTGCCGTAGGAGGCGGGGTCACAGAGCCCCGATGGCAGCCTGGTGGGCTTTAGCTACAGCTCTTCTTGACTCTTTGTTTTAGTCCAAATATCCGTTCAACGAAGCAGGTTTACTGAAAACTCTGAAATGAGGGAAACTCTGAGAGTTTCCTCATCCTCTGTTTCTGTTGCCATGGTAATATCCTCCTCAGAGCTCACCTCTTCTTCAGTAAACTCAGTGTCCTCTGTCTCCGCTCTTCTTACAGCCAGTCGCGCTGTTTTAGTTCCTGATTTAGTCAGATTTTAGTGGTAGTTTTGGGTATTAAAATGAATCATTATCTTGGTCTGTTAGATTCATTAGGTGAACGATCGGCCTTTATGAGGGGCGCTCAGTAAGTAATGCCCCTGACCCACTTCCAGGTGTTTGATCTAGCTGACGTTTATCATGTTTCATTATTTCTATCTCTATATATTAGGTGGTGAATTACGGCTCTGGACTGATTGTGGTTTCTGATTGACAGGAGTCTGAACTGAGCCTGTTGAGCGTCAAGCAGCGATCCACACACCACAGGAGGCTTTAGGTGCATGAAAGTAACTAATGGTGATGACGCTGCATCATGTGACCTAACAAAACCAGATCACTGCTCGACGCTCAGCAGTGTATTCCCAGAGAATGAAATATTGATAGGGAGAGGATTGTACAGCTCAGTGAGGATAGATTTGTTTAATATGAGTGAGATGCAGATCATTTTATTTTAATTAGTTATATTTACAGTACATGAAGAACTACTGAGATTGTTTTCAGATTACACATAAATAGATTCTTTAATTCCACATGGAAAAATAATTACTTTAGGATTAGGATTTACTGGATGATTGCATCCTACTGAGCCTTCTGGCACAATCTGAAGCCGCTAATAACGACCATTTATTAGGATGTTAACATCTGAAGCGGCGGCAAACAGACACTCAGTATTTACTGTGTAAAAGAAGCCATGAGATGATGAACAGGTTCTGTCTATTAGAACGTTTTATTCTTCAGCTCCACCTGCTGACAGGAGATTTCACCTAAATAGATCCATTAACCTAGCCTGACGTAGTCCTACTCAATTCTAGTCAGAATCTGAGTCTGATGCTGCTCCATAGAGCTGTGATTATGGGGCGTGTTTCGAACGAACCAGGAAAAAAATGCCTCTGCACTCAATTGGATAGACCTACAACCAATAAGAGCAACGGAGTGCGTGACGTATGTTAAGCGATGCACAGTTGTTGTCCACAAAAATCAAAGCGTGCAGTTGCACGCCTAGAATAAGAAGATGAGACTTGATCGCGTTTCTCTGTTCCTCTTTTAAAATTAATTTGCTGTCGATATCTTCTAGAACAGACCTAATAGAAGAATCTACACACCTAAACTCTCCAGTGGCAGCCATTATTGTTGTCACCCAAGCGCGCTTTGGTCACGTGGTTGATAACGTTACTGTTGATCATCTGTCCATCATCGTATAAAGCCCGCCCTGACAATTTGATTGGCCCGCCAGATACTGTGCGAGCATACTCACGCTACTGTTGAGGAATGCCAGACTCAACTTCCCGACCTCAAACATTGTGGGTTAGGACGTAGAGCTTGGAATCCTGAGGTTCTGAGTTCAAGTCTCACTCCCACAGACTCCTGAGCAAGACCCTTAACCCCACACTGCTCCCCAGGCACTGCACAATGGCAGCCCACTGCTCCCCAATAGATGGGTTAAATGCAGAGAGGCAATGTCATTGCTTATCTGTACTTGTGACAGTGGAATGACAATATAACGCTGAAAAATAAAATAAATAATAAAAATATTTATAGCATAAACCCATAATCTTATCATGATTTTGATATGTACTAGTTTTATTGAACATGTATTCCTGATATTTGAAATATACATTTTTTCTTTGTCAAAATGAGCATTTAAAACAAAGTGACACTCTTCACATCTAGAATAAACATTCTAGAAATTAATTTCAGATCTTTATATACCTGATATACTGGTCATCATTTGTATTATTTTAACTATGACGAAAAGTTTTTCAGGTATAAATACATTTTCAGTCCAGCTGATAAATGTCAGAACGACTGCTTAAAATGTGGTTATAAAACTTAATTTTTACTCCTATCATTTTGTGTTTTTATTTTTTACTTTTTTAATGAAGAATCTTATTTTACTGATTTACAAATGGAATAACAGAGAGGAGAGGGCTTTTAATAAATGTAAAAACGGCCTACCATAGCCCCGAATCCGGAAATGTTTAATAGGGGGGCCGGATGGGGCTACTAAAAATCTTGGGGTGGCCACTTAAACTAAAAGCCATAATTCCACGGTTTGAATCTACTATAGTGGTAAACATTTCTGCATTATAATCTCTAGTTCCAGTGGGGATAAATAGGTACTTCCTGCTTCCTGTTGTCATGGTGACTTGTTGAATCTGGGATCCACTGATGATGGCTTTTCATACTTGTTATGGTGTGTCACACTGACTTGGAGATGATAGAATTAATTCACAGCAGCTTTTATGATCAGTTCGAGGTTGAGATTAGAGTCTGACTTTGTTAAACCTGCTTATTGAAACAGAACCCCAGATCTTTGTTCTGGTCCAGTTCTTTAGTGACCAGAGGGATTTTACCCAATCAGCAGCTTCTCCAGAGGAGGACTAGAAGAGACGAGTGGACCTGGAATCGGGTCTGAACGTTTGGTTCCTCTGGAGCTGATTATCCAGAAGCTTCCACGTTGATGGATGAGTGAGTTTATCCTGCCAGCAGGTGGCGACGGCGAACAGGAGTCTGCTAATGGCGCCCAGAGGCCAAAATCTTCAGGCTCCGGGAGAACCGGTACCAGGATGAAGACTTGGCGGTTCTGGTTTTATTGGGACTCAGTGTAGAACGGTTTCTGTTGGATCAGTTTGATCCGGTCCAGTCTAAAATGGTTCCCTTTCAGAACTGGCTGTGAACTCTGTGTTCCATGAACCTGCAGATCTATAGATTTCTGATCTAGATGAGCTGATATCTGGGAGCTTTTCTGCTCTGTTCTAATTTCTCTGCTCTTCTTCCATCAGGTGACTCTGAGCTACGGCGGCTATGAGAACAGAAGAAACGTGGTCAGCCTGGTTGGAGGCTTCTCATTGGCTGAAGACCCCACCAGGTAAACTAAGGGGGGCGGGGCTTCAGCTGATGACCATTTCCTGTAGAGCAGCTGCTGAAGGAGCTCCTTCTGTCTCCTCCTGCAGGTTTAAGACGGTCCACTGCCTCCTGTATCCGGATACCGAATGGTGTCCGAAGTCTGACCCCGGAGCTGAAAGGAAGCGGAACCGACATCCTGCAGAACCGGCAGCTTCTGGAGCCAGATGGAAAAGTTCCACCAAAAACTAACTAGATCCAAAAATATTTCTGGATCAAAACCACTTCCTGTTCCTGAACAAAAATCAGCTGATGACTGAACACCTAGATGTGGTCTGTACCACTCCGTACTGGTCTGGACTGATCCACTCTGGCCAGTACCAGTCTGTACTGGTCCACTCTGGACTGTACTGGTCAGTGCTAGTCCACTCTGAAGGGTACTGGTCCACCAGAAACAGTCAGAACCAGAACCTCTGGATCTAGTTAATGACCTTCCTGTTGAAGAGAGAGGTCCACATCTGGGAGCGATTATTATTAAGAAAACCTAAACATTTCATTCTGACTTTGGTCCCGTTACAGAACCAGTTAGGTCAGTTTAAAGCGCGGGTGACCAGAGACGCCGTTACAATGGAGGATTTTACTGTCAGGAGCTGCGAACGCTTCGTTAAAATGCCAAAGGAGATGATATGGAAGATAAAAGCCTCTATTAGACCAAAATGTCTGGATGTCCTGAGAAAAGAGAATGAAAGGGTTAATAGATCATTAAAAGGAGGAAACCCTGATTAGATCTCCAATCATACGGATGGACTCCAGTTAAAATCATTTATCAACGAGCTCCACTGGCCTGAAGATCAATGCAAATATTCTTTATAAGAATAAATCTCTTTATTAGAAGAACTGGTTGGAAATGATGTTCAGCAGCTTTTAAATAATAAAAGTCTTTTTATGTCAAACATTGAATTATGTCCTCATTGAACCCCTGTAGCGCCAGAGCGCTGAGCTGACGGCGGCTTTAAAGGAAGAGATGGTTCTACTGGTGAACATGGAGGTCCCAGTAAAACCATCAGGACTGGTTTCTGATCCGATCCTGATGGTTCTGATCCGATCCTGATGATTTTTGATCCGATCTTGATGGTTTCTGATCCGATCCTGATGGTTCTGATCCGATCC